GTAGAAAAATACATCCGACATCGGTTTCAAACTGCAGTTTTTGCGTTGACAAAGTAAACATAAGGCAGAGAGCCGGAGTGAGTCACTCAAACCTCTGTCTGCAGCTAGGGAAAGATAAAAGGCCATACTCCAGTTACATTTTTGGAATGTGCCTTCGAAGGGTTAATGTTAATGTAATCCTTTCTAATAGATCAAATGCAGAATTAAACTCTCAAACATTTTAAAGTAATGAATCTAGATCAAAGAAATATACATTGCCCAGGAAAGTGTTTCTTTAAATTTGACTGAAGCACTTACAGTTATGTCTCTGAACAGTTGGCTCCAACTCTTTCAGCTCCACTTCCCTGAACTTCCTGCCCAGTATGAGAGCCAAAGGAGCAGCACAGTCACCAGTAGCTCTCCATCAACTAGCTTGGAGAAGGAGGAGGGAGGAGTAGGGAGCAAGGAAGTGTCTTGCCTTGCTGTGCCTGTGTGTTTGCAGAGACGCACACAGCTTTCTAGCACACACAAGGGTGGCTCCATAGGACCGTGCAAGGGAAAGGAGCCACCCTAAAACAGGATATCGGGGCCAGTGCTCAGGGTATCAGCTGATTCTGCAGGAAGCTAAAACTTGTAAACATCAGGAGCAGCATCCATTGTAAATGATTTAATAAGTATTTGATGAAGATAGTTTTCATGGTATAGATTTTCGATAGTAGCGATAAAAGAAATTTGAAGGAGCTGGATGGAAAGATACATTTCAATTATTTACCTTGGTCTACTTTTAAAAGATGTTCATCAGTGCTTCTGCGCATTCTTCTTCCCAGCCATATTTTAGACTCTTGTCCCGTGGAACGGACACTTATGCTAGCTCTATGCCGTCATGCAGTTCTTTGTGGGATCACACACCCTCCTCCTGGGATGGATGCCCCCTACTCTCAGCCTCCTGATACAGCATGACGTTACAGGCATTAATATATAATATTTTTTTGGCAGAATGCAGCTTAGGAATTGAAATTGAGCAACTGTAAATGGGGAGAAGGATAGATATTCCAGGCAGCCTAGATCCCGGAGATGAGCTTTAACTGGCATTGGCTAACTTAGCCGCCTGTGCAAATAATGGATTTTGCAGAGTAAAATGAGTTCCTGAGTGGCGATGTTCTTGGAATTCACTTTATTCTTAAAAATAAAGTTTTGTGTTTCCGAAGGAGGCGGTCTCGGCACCGTCACGCGCCTGTAAGGCCTGCGGGAACATTTGGTTTCCATCCAAGTCACATGTGTGAAAGGGAGGATTAGAAGTGAATTATACCAGAAAAGAGCTTCAGCATTAAAGTGCATCGTGAAAATCGGCAGGACGACAGCTGGGCCATTAAAGACCCAAAACTCCCACTTCTGCCTGTTAGAGCCAGACAGGAATACCGTGCTAATCTCCGCAGATCACGCTATTCGCTTCCTCTAAAACTAAAACACGACTCGTTTGGCATTGGACGGAGATATATGATACCGTGTTCTCGGATTATGTCTACTGCTTAAACTTTTGTAGCTTATGGCGGCAGTTGTTGAAATGATAGAAGCGGGTGTAATTCGGGATACAACGTTTCTGCCTGCGTTGACTGGCTTGTGCTAAAACAACTAACTTGTTAAAGTGAAAAACAAAAAAGCGGCCATTACTGCCCCCTTTCTGAGAAACTTCAGTCTCCTCTCTGTAATACTGAGCCTCAGGCTTTGCTACTTAGCGAGTCTCTGAAGAAGTGTGCAGGCGGTGTCGTTGGAGCTCCCTAAGTAGTGTGGGTGGAGACATTTCCACAGTTATTATAGACTTCTCACCATGAAACTACGTGGGCTCCCCATCATTTCTAATAGGGGAGGCAGGAGATAGAACCTCAGCAAACCAGGCAAATAAGCAAATACAATTATGTGGTGCATCACTAGAGGGACCACCAGCAGGAGGAAGGAGGTCCTGATTCCAGTATATAGAGCTTTAGTCATGCTGGCCATAGACTGTTAAAGTTTTGTGTGGGTCCTGCTGACTCATTTTACAAAAGTTGATTTCTTTAATTGACTATTGTCGAAGGAGTTGGGCTGAAAATTGCCAACTGAAGTCACTGTTTGAGTATTCTGACAGCCGTGGGTGCCGGCTGTCAAAATACAATAGCCTGGCAGGGGAACTTTCTCCATCTACACTGTGTATCAGGATCGAGCGACCTGATGGAGAAATAAATATTTTTTCAGAAAGTTAAATCGACGATCGATCGAAAAAGAGCAAGATGGCAAACAAAATCAAATGTTGAAATCAAAGGAAATTTCCAAAAAACTTTCAAGTCATTATTGAATGTTCTGATGAGACAAAAATAGAGGTGCACCAAAATGTAAATTTCAAAACCGAAACGAAACCGAAATAAAAAAAAATTGTCAGGCCGAAACCGAAAATGTTTTTTTATTTTAATTTTTGTAATTTGTTTTAATATTTAATTTGTATTTCTTTTTTTGTAAACTTTTTAACTTTTTTATATATTTTTTTTATTCATTTTTTATTAAGTTTTTTAAAAAACTTTTTACTTTTAGGGGCTTCGTGGAAATATTGGGGGTCTAAACAGACCCCTGATATTTCACTTTTAAAATAGAAAAAGACATTGAGGACACAAAGTCCTCAATGTCTTTTTCTGTATCCCCTGTTATCACTGAACAGGAATCCTCTATACTGAGTGTTCCTGTTCATTCATAACATGAGGACATAGTATGTTTACTATAACCACAATCATGAATGAACAGGCGGGGATGTAGATCACTTCCCATTCATTCATCATTGAGGATATAGTAACCATACTCTGTCCTCAATTATTTACAAACACTCCGCAATCACTGATCACTGAGTGTTTGCATTGGCTCTCCTTTCTGACAGCTGTCACAGGAGGCTGCGTGGGGCGGTGCAGGGAGGAGAGCTGAGCCTCATGTGACAGCGCGGGCTGTCTACGCCCACACACCACTCTGCCAGGCTGTGATAGGAGGCTGAGCGGTACGGAGAGGAGAGACGTCAGCCACTCACAGCGCTCTCCTCCCACAGCACTCGGCAGGCTGTCACACTTTCTCTCCTCCCTGCTGGGCGCTGCTCTGTGTCCCAGCGGGGAGGAGAGAAAGCAGGGATGCGCCGATGTATCGGCAGGAAAATGGCACTTTCGGCATTTAGCCAAAAGTGCCATTTTCGACCGATATATTTCGGCGGCCGTTATATCGGTGCATCCCTAGAAAAACAATTACCCTGCTGTATACCCAACTTTAGAACCCAATTGAGAATACTGCAGCTCTTGCTTACAAAAACATATTAATAGGTTAGAGCTCAAAGGCTGCCAACAAAAATAATGCAAGGTCTGGGGGATACAACATGTCAGAAGAGACTGGGACAAGGTAGTCTGTACAGCCTCAAGGGAAGAAGGGAAATAGGGAACATGATTGAAACTTTGAAATACATCTATGGCCCAATCACACAGATGTGTTGCAGTTGGTAGGGGTCGCTGTGTAATTTATTTTGAGTGGCACCACAGAGGACAGATGTAAACCGTCCATTACATGATGCAGTACATTGAAAAAAAAGGGAAGGGTCAGGTGCGTTTTTTAATATGTTATGGTAAACTGTCAGCACATTAAAAATGAATGGTTAATGCATTGCACCGTAGTGCACAACAACACTTATTGTTAACACACCTGTGTTGACGCAACATGCAGGGGGATATTAAAAAATCTGCAGAATGGCTGTATTGACGCCATACCACTGCTTTAAAACAAACACATACCAATATTCTTTACAATTGTGCATTGCGCTCTGCTGGCTCCAGGTGTTGGTGGAGGAGGGCAAAAGAAATGACTGAGCAAAGAGAAAAAAAATATGGGGGGGTGAGGGGGGGTGGTCTCGCAAATAGTCCAGTCATACAAACATATTTTTCTGGAACATCCATGGGGACTGAGACACCACACGCCTAGATTCAATACATATACCAACAAAAAATACGATGGGGCTTTAAAGGTGTCTATTCGGGAATGTGGGATAACATGGCTAAACCTATTAACACAATATAGTGATTCATTTATGTAAAAGATTTTTATTCCATAATCTCTATAAAAAACATTTCCATTTAGTCTACAAAGTTACAAAGATAGACAGATTTTAAAATAATAATTGGTTTAGCCATGTTATCCCACATTCCCTAATAGACACATTTAAAGCTCCATTTTATTTTTTGTTGGTATATGTAAATAGTCCAGTCATGTAAGCTCTCTAAACTGCATTAAGCAGAGACAACTCTGTGGATTCACACAGGCTATACAACAGGGCCTGCATTTTATGAATGGGCTGGAACACTGGAATAAAATAGAGAAGGGATAGCAATATCCGATCTCTGTTATAAATGAGTCTGATGGTATGAAGGGGCCCTAAAGGTGTGAATATGATTCAGAAGGGAATTAACTTTGTAGTTTTCAGTCATACCTTTTTACTGACTTACTGAAGTTAATAAAATGCAGGCTTTTGGGATCCCTTAAATCCCTTTCTCAGGCTTTATACAATCCCAGACTAGGTACCTAAAAGATCAGTGGATTTTTAGCAGGGTTAGTGAGTCAATAACCAATGGTAAGTGAATTTGAACATTCTTGGGATGAACATGTACAGGTCTCTGTAAAAAAAAAAAAAAGGGCAGACTCAGTGGATCATTTGGTCTTTTTCTGCCGTCAGTCTTCTATATTGATGTGTTGTTATGTTTTTATTTTCAGTTTATGGCAGCGTATCCACAGAAATATGTCACCCTTTGTATTGCAGACTTCCACACTCCAATGAATACAGATCAGTCTGTGCACGCAGCCAAATTGGCTGCTTTTTCCCCCGCTCCATAATATGATTCTCTGAATGTCTTTTTGTGTTGATGTCACAGCGCAGTCACTGACCAGATTGTGTAAAATCAAAATTGTTGACCTTTTTATCTTGCAACGATGGAAATGCAATAATGGCTGTAAATTTTGCTGTGTTGCAGGGATGGAGCATCATCCATCCCCGACTACAAGAGATCGCCCGTATCCGGCGGATAAAGGTATTTCCAGACGTTTACTGTTAATGACACTAACATGGTCAGGTTAAAGGGGCTGTGACCCATTCAGTTTAGCAAATTCCCTCTGGATAAATAAAAAATAAAAGCATCTCTGCCTGCAGGATGTCAGTTTTCATGGCTTTCTTCAATGTCCCCCTACCCCATGTTCATGCTCTTCCTTCATGATAGTAGTCAGGCAGCTCAAGCAAAGCAGTGTCACTTCTGCGCTCATTCCTGAGAGGGTCGTCAGAAAAACTCATTGTTAAAAGTGCACATTTCAAGGCTGCAAATAACACTTATAGCACTAGATGTATTGTTATGCAAATTAGCCCTATAGTACATCGGAACTGTCATACATATTCATACATTACATGAATCATAGGGGCGCATGCCAGCATTGGCAAATCATTTTATTGTGAGTAAAAAGAAAGTTCTCCTTTTTGCCATGAATATAAAAATGGTGATTTGAATGTCATAGATCATGGTTTTGGCTACATGAGCATTGTGTGCGTTTCATATTGTTAGGGAATGCAGAGTGCCTGAAGTTACCAGTCAGGCAAACAGTGACAGACTGCTAGACTTGCAGTGAATATAATAGGAACAGCAAGACTCAACCATGTGTGACATTGCCAAGCAGGAACAATGTACATAACATATTAATTCACACCGATAAGACTATTTCCATTAAAGTGTATTTATAGCATAAATGTTTTCTTAGTTTTGGATAGAGTGGGGAAAGGTTAACCCTGTCAGGTTTTACTTCTATTCAGGGCTTGGTTAGAGAGATTTCCCCTCACTTCCTGCTTTGGGGACAAGGTTTTACCAAACAGGAAATGAGGGAAAATCTGAAGCAGGAAAACAAACAACAATAAAAAGCTGACAGGGGTTCTTGCCTTCCCCTACTTTACTTAAAACTGTGAAAAGGGGTTAAATGCTTGTTTTTGCCTAGGGGTTGAGGAATAATGCCTAATACTAACCTGATTTCTCGTTTCGTCAGGCTCCCTCCATCTGTTCGACTGGTCCCTGAAGTCTTCTCTCTAAGGCGCTACCAGCTGGCGGCCCTATGCTGACGTCATCAAGTACAATGCAGGAGCAATAGACCTGCATTGTATGTGACGATGGCGAGGGACCACCCACAACCCGGAGCGTCGGGGGGAAGACGAGTGCTGAAAACTGCTGGAGCGAGGAATACGTTTACTATCACAGCTTATTCCTCTACCCCTAGGCAAAAGCATTTAACCCTAGCAATGGGGGGTGTAGTTTAAGGGTACATTTTTTTCCCCTGATCCCTGGTTCAGCTTTAAAAAAAAAACAAGTTTTACTTCTGCCTCTGTTGTTGTTGGATAGTTTCCTTCACTTCCTGTCTAGTGAAAATGTCCCCAGGACAGGAAATGAGGGGAAATCTCTGTAACAGAGCTCAGGATAGAAGTAATACCGGACTGGAGTTCTACTCCGTCCCCATTCTATCCAACACGAAATATTTGGCTAAGTTTATGCCTTTCACATTTATATCTAATAAAAATGTTAAAAAGACTTCAGTTCCCCTTTATCACTGAAGAGAATCTTTGCACGTTCTTCCTTCGAAGAAAGGAATGTTCGACATTGAACATTTTTTTAAGATATAAATGACAAAAAAGTAAACAGAGGGGTTTTTATGTTCATTCTGTACAGTGTGAGGAAATGTGATTGTTAGCCTCAGTGTGAGTGGGCCCTCCTCCTCCTCCTGGTCATGCAGGGGGGAAATATTGTAATTTAATGATGCATCCTGCAGATTTTACTCTTTTCAACCACAGTACACTCATATGCGTCATTCATTGTGCCATGTAGACCCCACCGTTGCACGCAGCACTTGTGCCACCCTGTCCCTGTTTATAGCAAAATCTGCCAAACGGACTTAAATGAGGGTCAGAGGGGTCGGTAGAGGTCATACCATAGTGCCCAGCAATGCAATAGCCTGAGACCAGGGCCTTTGCGGGGTTAAAAATAAAATAAAATGGCTCTGGGACGTAAATAAGGTTATTGTTCTAGAAAGACTACTGACCTCTGTAAAATAAACTCTCTTTTTATGGAGTCTATAACTGCCAAGTGCATGTGCTTCCTCTCTTCCTACTCATATTATAGCGTGTAGTAGAGTAGGTCTGAACCAGGAAAAAAAACTCTGCTGCAGAATTTGTTTTCCCTGCTGTAAGCTTCCCTGTAATTCAGCATGGTGTTGTAGAGCAGGGGTGCCCATTAGGTAGATCGTGATCTACCAGTAGCTCTCAAAGCTGATGCTGGTTGATCACAAAGGGTGTGAATGGCGGCCCCTTTATTCCATTTTGGTATATTTATTTAGCTGTGCACACATGATTACCTATTAGCCTGAGTCTGCTGAGCCAAGCTCCCTGACACCTTTCTGGTGGATACTGGTGGTTGAAGTGCTATGTATTACATCAAAGAATATTAGTTTACACAGCCTGTTGCACTACACTGTTTGCAAAATACAGCAAGAATTTGTTTTCCCTGCTGTAAGCTTCCCTGTAATTCAGCATGGTGTTGTAGAGCAGGGGTGCCCATTAAGTAGATTGTGAGAGAGAGCAAGGAGAGACAGACAGGAGAGAGAGCAAGGAAAGAGAGAGAAGAGACAGCCAGGGGAGAGAGAGCAAGGAGAGACAGCCAAGAGAGCGAAGAGAGACAGCCAGGAGAGAAAACGAGGAATGACATGCAGGAGAGAGCGAGGGAGTTTTTTTTTTCTTTGGTCGATCTCATGTAGCTCGTCATTTGAAAAGTAGATCTTAACACAAAAAATTGTGGGCACCCCTGTTGTAGAGGGTGTGTACATAGGTTGGGAGGGTGCTGGGTATGGCTACATAATAATAATAATAATAATAATAAATATTTATGAAGTAGATTTATTCCAACAGGAAGTGCAGGAAATGGTCAGGCAAAGAAGATTGTGGTGGCTACTAGAACCAATTGACAGCCACGATTGTGGCTAAATACTGACTAACTGGAATGTTGTACTTTTTGTTCTTTTTTAAGGTCTTTTAAATCAGCAGACAAATAATAATATGTAACGTTTAAGTCGGTTATTTTCACGGTGGCATGCATTGGTTACTCTTTTCTTCCTACAGTGGCGTGATCCTTTAAGTAAGCATGTTCACTTTTTCCCTGCTTAGTCATGTGATTGCGGCCTTTAATGTCAGACTAATATTTCAGCGTGATATTTTTGTAATTCCAAACCTCACGCAGATCTAATCTCGTGCTGGATCACCAGTGACATTCTATAAAAGCTGTAATGTGATCTTGCTACTGTGACAAAGGCGTTTTATCCCAGCCACAAAGACACGTTTGTGTTCTTACCTCATCGCACCAGAAACATCTTATGGTAAAGTTAGTGCAGGTAAAGGTTATAGCCGAGCAGCTGACAGGACAAAGGTGTCTGTGCTTCACAGTGCTGCATCACTGAGCATTACCCACTTACTGCATGCTGTACGACATCAGAGTTTGAGGACGTTTATTGTGTTCCGTCACCAGTAACACTATATCCATCAATAGACATCAGATCAATATTTATAGGACAACAAACTCCTCTTGTAGAAGACTGATGTGAATGGTTCATTGTTCTCTGTACAGCACTGCAGAATATGGCAGCTCTACATAAATGTATATTAATAATAGTGTGTGACTGTAGTGGGGACATTGGAGTGTAAGCTCTTCTGGTGCAGAGAGTGATGTGAATGGTTCATTGTTCTCTGTACAGCACTGCAGAATATGGCAGCTCTACATAAATGTATATTAATAATAGTGTGTGACTGTAGTGGGGACATTGGAGTGTAAGCTCCTCTGGTGCAGAGAGTGATGTGAATGGTTCAGTGTTCTCTGTACAGCACTGCAGAATATGGCAGCTCTACATAAATGTATATTAATAATAGTGTGTGACTGTAGTGGGGACATTGGAGTGTAAGCTCCTCTGGTGCAGAGAGTGATGTGAATGGTTCAGTGTTCTCTGTACAGCACTGCAGAATATGGCAGCTCTACATAAATGTATATTAATAATAGTGTGTGACTGTAGTGGGAACATTGGAGTGTAAGCTCCTCTGGTGCAGAGAGTGATGTGGTTCAGTGTTCTCTGTACAGCACTGCAGAATATGGCAGAGCAATAGAAATGTAAAATAATAGTGTGTGACTGTGCTGGGGACTAGACATGTGCGATTCGTTTCGTTCCGAATCGAAATTTGGACGAATTTTCGGAAATTCGGACATTCGGATGTATCCGAATTACAGACATAACAGACATTACAGACATAACGAATGCAAACGAATCCGAATTTCCATTTCCGAAATTCGGTAGCGTTAGTACGAACGTTCGTTTCGTTTTCTGTTCTTATTCGTTTCTTATTCGTTTCGTTCGTTGGAGCAAAGTGACATTAGAGAAGGAGAAAAATATTTTTTCCCCCTCAAATGTCACTTTTGCTGCAAACGAACAAACGAAACGAACGTTCGTACTAACGCTACTGAATTTCATCCGAATTCCGAATCCGAATTGACTTTCACACCCGAATCCTGAAAAACGAAATAACACAAATCCGAATTTAAAACGAAACGAAACTAAACAAATTTTTTGGCAGTGCACATGTCTACTGGGGACATTAGAGTGTATGTGTTGCAGAGACTTGGTGTTTAGTACAACACTGCAGAATATGTAAGCGCTATATAAATGTGTAATAACATACCACAGCAAGTCCTGTCAGACAAACACTGAAATGACAATGAGGGGCATTTATCAAAACTGGAGCAGCTGTGTGTGGCAGCCAATCAGCTTCTCTCTTCCAATTTCAAAGCCTAACTGAACAAAGTAAAGTTAGAAGCTGATTGGTTACTGTAAACAACTGAGCCAGATTCTGTATGCTTCAGTTTTGATAAATCCCGCCCTCCCCCAATGTATTTTCTTCTAGCAACTCTGTAGTTTCTGGCTCTTGATTAGTAGTGGGACTCATTATTTGCAGATACTTCTGTGTTCT